GGAGAAGCTGGGAGACAACAAAGGGCAGTTTCAGAGTTTAGAAAAGCGCATTCCAGGCTCATGGCTTAAGTCTCCTCACTGGGTTTTCCACCAAGCGCCCAGCATAACATACCAGAAAGACACGCTTGGCTGTATCACTGGGATTTCAGAGCAAAGCAAGCCATTTATGAAGGATCAGAACAAGATCACATTTCTGAAAGACAACACAGAAAGCAGAAAATAGTGGCAAAACAGCCTTCAAAATTCAGTTGGGAAAATTGTTCTCAACCCCGGATTCTATACCCAGCCAAACTGTCAAGGTAGAAACAGGTATTTTTAGATGTGTACCCTGCCCCCCAGTCTGCACACACCCCAAAGCTACTGGATGATGAATTCCAGTAAAATACAGTAGATTAATAAATACAACTGAGACTATTTGAAGTGTTTCAGTGCTTGGAAAAAAAATACCAGGAGGTTTTTTGCCAGATCTTTGAAACAGTTGTGGGGAAGGGGGGAATTATAGCACCTGCATGAAGACTAATTAAATTAAAAAAGTAATCAATATTTTCAGGGTAAACAAAGTTGCATAATAAAGGAAACATACCTAGAGTATTATTGGCTGAGCAGTGAACAATATTTACATTGTCATAGTAATGTAAACATCAACCACTGGCTTAACCATAAATTCGATTTCACAGTTGGGGAGGCTGGCGATTTGACCGTATAATGCCACTGTAATAAGTTAGTAGGTGGAAGGCTTATGAATCCAGAAACACCAAGATGAAGCTGTTAGCTGGGAATCCGAAGGGTCTGCCTCTGGGGCAAGGGGTGAATAGGGCTGCTGGGTTTCGTTACAAGGCTCTTAGAAGACTATTTTTAGTCTTTTTTAATATATAAGACTGTTAAGAGACTTTTAGTGTTTGATTTCTAGCCATGTGTATAGACTACTTTGAATAAAAATAAAAAATAAGCATTCACATGGGCACGCTGATACTGTTCTCCATCTGGGAAGGAGTAAAGTCTTTCCACTGAGATTTCCCGGAAAGTGGATCTGCTCTCAAGCCATTCAGATTTGGGCCAGCTGAGAATGTAGCCCTGGAAATCCCACGGGGATGGGACAGCCTAGTCCCCGGCAGCCTGCACTCTACTTCCTGGGCTGGATGGGCACCAGGGAAGATTTGGGGGTACACTGGGTCTTCCACAGTCTCTCTCTGTGGCACAGCTGGGGATTAAGCTACAAAGATGGGGCTCTACATCTGAGCCGAGTGGCCATTCCTAACCATACATAGTAGTGTTTCTTTCCCTTCAGAAAATGAATTGAGTTCCTTGTCCCTTGGAAAACCCCAAGTTTACCCTCGGCCTGCACCTTTTGGAGTCATTTTCACATGGCACAGTTGTTCTTCGGAGCCCTCGACTTAGCCCAAAGGCAGGAACTCAGACTGCCCCTGCCCCGGGATAGGAGTCTTTCTTTGGAAGTGAGAAGAGCCATGGGCATGGGCCACCTGCACACTCTCTCTGGTCTTCAGACCCAAGGGAAATGGCCACTCTGCTGCCCACCGCCTATGGTACAGAGGAGCAAACCGTGCTCCTACAGATACAGCACAGGGCATGGCGGGCTGAGCTTCAGAACGAAGCTTGTACGATGTTGAAGCTCAGTCAGAGTCAGCCCCGCTCCATCTCCCCTGTTGCTTGGTTTGCCCAGGATGGAGTCACCAGGCCTCATGACCTGTGACTGCTGGCTGTCCAATGGTGCAGTCTGCTTCAGACTTCGGGGGACTTAAAGGGATGAGCGTGTGCACGTACAGGGTGGCAGAAATGGTACAGCTGCTGGAGTGTCTTACCCTGCCCTGTCCTTTGATTCACAGAGGTAGGGCCCACGGAACTGGGGAACCTGGCGGGTTCTGCAGCCAGAGGCAGTGGGGCTTGTGAGCCCTGCTCAGGGAACCCCACACACGTCTCAGGGTGCCAGAAGGGCCCAACCAGCCAGCACAGGCTATCTGGCCAGTGGGTGTCCCAGTGGCCCTCCTGTGGGTTGCACCTCTCTCCCTTACACCCACACTCAGCCCCTGACTCCCCGCCCTAAGTGAAGCCCAGTCCTGCGTCTCCTTCTCTTGTTCACCTGCTGCATTTTCTTTTTAAGAGCACTGAACTCCCTATTCTACTTTGTGGTCCTTCAAATGTTTAGAGAAGAGTCCTCTGCTAATAGCTTGTTTAGTAGCATTTCTTAGGTGCAGAAATTGCTTTTGAATGAATACATTTTAGAAATATCAATTCACATTTGTCCTCTTCCCGGTAACAGCTAACAGCAAACGTTCCCTTCTTCCAAGGTAGTGGTCATTTGTGTGCCCAACATGCTTCTGGTCATCCAGGCCACTCAGTCCAGACGTTCTGCTGCTAGAGACGTTCTGCACTAGCTGTTAGGCTAGAGATCACAAATCTGCACTTGAAGCAGTGCCCCCGCTTAACACAGGTGGCCCACGAGCCGTACTTTGAGAAACACTGATCAGCTCACATGCTGTGCTGAAGCTGGACCCTTCCTTCCTCCCTCCCTTCCTTCCTTCCTTCCTTCCTTCCTTCCTTCCTTCCTTCCTTCCTTCCTTCGTTGGGTTGTGGATGCAGGGTTTTGGGTCCAGTGCATGCTCAGTAATCACTCTACCACTGAGCTACATCCTGACCCTAAAATATTTTTTTAAAGCTTTTAACCAGGTGTGGTGGTGTTCACCTGGAATGCCAGCACTCAGGAGGCCAACACAGTAGGATCATTGCAAATTCAAGACCAGCCTGAGCTACAAAGTAAGCTCAAAACAAGCCTGAACTGCAGAGCGAGATAGTCTCTCAAAAAGACCAAAAGAAAAAAGCATTTATACCCTGAGTTAATTTTTCTTTTAAGATACATTTCCCCATGTTGCTGGGTTTTATCTTATCCTCTGACCTCAATTATAGTATCCCTCATCCACCGCTGTTGGAAGTTTTGTGCAATTTTTGGGAATCCAGAGCGTTTGTATCCCAATACCTTTGTGCACCTGTGTGGATTCCCTCCTGCCGTCCCGCCTCTCCTTACTCAAGAACTGGGGTTAAATGATCCAATGCGGGGGCTCCTCGTGAGGCGCACAAGTGCCCAGAACATGCAGGGTGCCCAATAAAAGATTTCCTTTCCCAAACTGAACGCGACCTAGCCAACAAGTCAGTCCACATTCTTCTAGTATCTCTTTGCGGGTTTTTCTGTGTCTTTATTTTCTCAGTGAATGATTTTTAGGTTTCAAGGTGAGAAGAGGAATCCTCCTTCTCTCTGGTGAGAAACTTGAAGCCTGAGGCTTGTACACGGTGCTTTTTGTATCTTGCCAGCAAGTTCAAAGCCATCCAGAGCTGTATCTGGAAAGAACACTCCCAGGATGCCGTGGCAGCATGCATTTTGGCAATATCCTTGCTGTGAATTTAGTGTGTTTGTCAGACCTGCTGATATATGCTTTTATTGCTAAGTTTTAAATGATCTGGACACAGTTTATAAGCATTACTCATTTTTAAGAGGATAAGTTCATTTCTGACTTAAAGGGCAGAATACTATTAATAGTCATTAGCTTTTAAAAATAAACTCATAACCCAATGTAAAGGAAAGCTCATGTGAGTGCATATCTGGGCCCGTATTAATGGTTAGCATTCAAGGATAGGGTTAGAATTTCAAAAATGCCTATTAATAAGTGATTCTTGGCATTACGCTGCCAGTCTGAATATGGGCCTTTCATCTGAAATGCTATACAATGGCAGGCTTTTCATAGTCTGATGCAAGGCTCAGAACTTTCCAAAATGGCAGCAAAACAGACGCCGCATTTTTTCGCTTGTTTGTATTGGGGGCCCCTTTGGAATGTTATTCCTGGCAACAGGTCATGTTACGGTACGTGTCATTCAAAACAGCGCCAGACAAGAGAGCACCATGACATGTTGGGGGGTGGGGGGCATCTCCCAGGACCCGGGAGCACCTGTCACCCGGAGCCTCATAGCTGTGTCCCCAGGTGCTGGGACCAGCGTGAGTCCCTCACAGCGCCTTCTTGGGCGCCCAAGAGACCTGACCCAGTTCCAGACAGCAGTGGTCAGGCGATGGCATCCTGACCGAGCCACCCTGTGACACTACTAGTCACATCCAGGCCACCCTTCACTTTGTTTTTGGCAGGTCAGAGTAAAGATCTGTGCCTTGGGCATTCCTGGTGTACCTGAGAGAGACAGGTTTTTGTCATTACAGGTAGATAGGCTAGGAGGCTCTCCCTGGACCATATAACCAAGGCTTCAGTTATTTGATCAAAGACGGAGATTCAGTGCTTTTCTCCACCGGGAATGTGGATTCTCTGTGCGAAGGGGCAGCCTGACCCACCCACTGCTCAGAAGCCCGAACCCAGAGGCAGGCAGACCTGGGTTGAGTGCATTTTGGCCACCCAACCCACTGGTGCTAGAGACTGAACCCAGGGACTTCATGTGGAGTCACATGCCCAGCCCTTTTTATGTTTTGAGACGAGTTTTCACTAAGTGACTAAGTTGCCCACCCTGGGCTAGAACTTGAGAGCCTCCTGCCCCAGCCTCCAAGTGCTAGGGTTACAAGCGTGTACCACTGTGCCCAGCTTGAAGTATCAGGATCCTGGCTCACTGGTTTGGGTTCTCATTGTTTTCCACTGATCTGGGTTTCTGGGCTGGAACCAGCAAGGATGCACTTTTGCGATGGTTGCTATTTTATGTTCCCCTGTGGTCTGCAGTGAGTCCTAATCCCAGGCTTGACGATCTGAGCCTACCCCAGCAGTGCGGTGGATTTTAAACAATGGTAGGCACCCCAGGCCACTCACCAAAGAAGGGAAAAGTTATCTGTTGGAGAAAAGGAAGCGAGGAAGGGCTTGGACAGTCTCCAGGTCCCTGGCACGGCTGGCCAGCGGGTCCCATATCTGTGTGGTCGCCAAGCCGATCCCCCCAGCACCCTTACTGCTCATGCCTCAGACGCTGGCACAGCACACACCCCGAATAAAAAACGAGGCCAGTGCTGGTCACCCCAGAGGAATGTGCATTTTCACCAACATTCTTCGGGACCGGGACACGAACAGGGACACGGGGCTGGTGTCGTGGCACCGTGCCTGTGCCCAGGCAACACCCAGTAGTGGCGCAGGTTGGGGATGTCGCGCCACCATGCAAATTAGCGAGATGTGGGAAGAGGTGCATATCCGGGCCGCGGGGATCAGGTGTGAGCTCGGCCTTCCAGCGTCCAGAGTGAAGCCCTGCGGCCAGGAGGGGGTTAAGCGAGGCAGCAGGGCCGGGCCGGGCCGGGCGGGGCGGGGCGGCGCTGCGCGGCCTTTGTTAGCAGCGTCTCGACCCGCGGGCGGCGCTGAGCTTGGACTGGTGGGGCCGGGGCCCGGGGGCGCGCGCGGGCCGAGCCGGGCCGGAGCCGGGCACCGCAGCCCGACGCCGCCGGCGCGGGAAGATGTTGGAGATCTGCTTGAAGCTCGTGGGCTGCAAATCTAAGAAGGGGCTGTCCTCATCCTCCAGCTGCTACCTGGAAGGTAGGCGCGGAGCCGCCCGGGAGCGCCAGGTCTCCCCTGCCCGCCAGCGCGCTGCGCCCTTCCCGCGGCCCGCTAGGCCTCGTCACGCACCCGCCCGCCTGCTCCCCTCTTTCCCGCTCCCTCTTCTCCTCTTCCCCTCTCCGTCCTTCCTCTTTCTTTCTCTCCGCGCCCCTCTGGCCCCCAGCTCTCGCGCCCACCCCAAGAGCCCACCTCACACTGGTGAACGGGTGATCGGATGTCCCTGGGGCCCCACGCCGCGCTCGTCCCCGGAGAAAATTTGAAAATGTGACTCCGCCGGCCCTAACGGCCTTGCGAGCCCACACTGTGGAATTTCCACTGTTAACTGGGAGTCGTGTGTCGAAAAGGTCGGCTGGGTCCGCGAACACATACGATTTCCATTAAGTATCAGCACCGAGGACGCAGGCTCTACCATTTATGGATGCAGTTCTGAGCGTTCTCCTACCCGCCCCCCATCCCGCCCCACGCTGCTGCAGGCCGGGAGAGGTCTGAGGAATCCGCTCCTCTCTAGAAGGAGGGAAGTCCCTCTGGAAGGCTCTGCCTGCAGCAGCCCAAGGCCGGAGAGGGCGCCTGGAGGTCCTTCCAGAAAGTTGGCAGCCCATGTATTTTGCTTTTGCCGCCTCTCTGCCTCCTCTTCTCTAATTCTGTGTAGCATTTCAGTTTGCCCCGTACTCGACTTTGGTTTCTCCCTCATCATAAGTTGACAACAGAAACAAAGTGAGTGCAGGGAAGTGCGTGGTCCTCCCTCCTGCACCCCCGAAAGGGATGCACGGTGGGCCTGCCCTCAGCTGAGCGGCCATGGCACCTCCGGAGAGGGCCAGCACTTGCATTACTCTGTTCCTTCATTTAGGACTTCAAATAGGTGGAGAAGCCTAAAGTCGGACCTCCGCTGTAGGCCATGAAGTGCTGATGTTTCTCCTCTTGGAAATAAAGGTGTCAGGCCGCCTTCTCCTTCTAACCTGTTTTTCTTTTCCCTCCAACTCGGACTTGAGGGCCTGCAGAGGTCAGGCAGGCAGTTCAGACCCTGAATGCCAGTGAGATAGGTGAAATCCGATGGTCTTTCTGTCCCTGGTGATGTTCAGGTTCCCCTGTACCCTGCTGATTTTAGGGGTGCACGCAGAACCCTTAGAGAAAGCTCCTCAGATGGCATGAGCTCGCAGAGGCCAGTGTTTGGAGGGAGGAGCTGGCTTATTTGTCCCTAAAGTTGGCATCAGAGCAACTGAAATTGTCTTCAGTTAACACATGGCTTATTTTCCCAAGTTGCTCACAATTCTGAAGGCATCTGTAATCTGAATTTACATCTGTAACGAGTTAGTGATAGGCATTATCGTCTCCGTGTCACAGAGGGAGGCCAGGCAGAGATGAATGGACTTTTGTAACTGCAGAGCCTAGGAAAGTCAAAGTCTCAGCTTTGCCTGGGGTGGGCGGGGCTGAGATTTAGTGCCTACCTGGCTGGTTAAAGTATTGTTTTAGGAAAAAAAAAATGTAGTCTAAAAAGTCTTTTTGCAGCGAAGCGCCTTGAAAAGAGGAAGTTCTCTGTCGGCTCAGAGACACCACGATGGAGTGAGCAAGCCAGGAAGCAGGGTTCACCAGGAAGGCGACTTCCCAGGAACTCTCCCTCTTGGGGAGTTCCTGTTTATTTTGTTGTTACATTTAGTGAGAGAAATAAGTGGAACTGTTGTTTTGTGGAACTAAACAGCCTCAGTGATGGTTTCCTAAGCCTGAAAATGCCTGGTGTCCCCTGGGAAGCAAGGAGGCCAGCCTCTCTGGCCGGATACGGCAGGCTTTTGATGGACACCCTAAATCCTTTGGCCAGCGTTACTGACAGCCATTTGGGTCCAGGCATCCCAGGTCTGAGCGAGGATTGAGTAAGATCAGGGTTTCCGATGTTCTGTCAAAGGCTAAGACACCAGTGTAATTTGAATGCGCACCAGTCCTGTTCCTCAGGCCCAGCTGTCTGAGCAGCAGGACAAGCACAGACAGCTGATGATGTCCAGTGCTTGCCCTCCATAGGGTCTCATATGCTTACTCTCAGGACCTCCTGGCTGGTTCCATTTCACAGATGAAGATGTTGAGGCCCCAAAAGGTTGAGTAACATCGGAAGTCACAGAGTTAGGCAGTGGTAGATTAGGGTTTGAAACTCGTGCCTCTGGTTGTAGGGAGCTTTGTCTTAAGTCACTGTGTCCTGCTGAGTGTGATCATCTGTCTCCTATGCAAGTCATTGTGGGTTTTAGTTAATGTCTAAAATAAGTACAATTTCTCATTCTCTTTTTGCAAATCTAATGCTAGTTAAAGGATTACCCTTACCTGCCCCAATGTCACATTCCTGTAATCCCAGCATCCTGGGAGGCTGAGGCTGGAGGATCTCAAATTCAAGCCTAGCCTAAACAATTTAGTAAAATATTGCTTAAAAAGTGATATATGAAGAGCCAAGGATGTAATTCAGTATGAATGCCCTGGGTTTCATCCTCAGTAACACAAAGAAATGAATTTTAAAGTGGTAAATGATTCCCTTTAGCAGTAGGATTAATTTTTGTTTTCGTTTTTGAAAAAGGAGCTCACTAGGCAGTTCAAAGCGGGCCTTGCATTCACTGTGTACCCCAGACTGTGACAGTCCTCCTGCCTCAACCTCCTGAGTGCTGGAATTACAGGCATGCGCCACCGTGCCCAGTTCTTAAAATTTTTAATGTATGTAAATACTGTCCTTAAGAAATTCTTAAAACGCTATTTAATAAAAAGCCTAAAAAGTTCCTCTTTCATTTCCCTACTGAAGGACAATCACTAAAGTGTTTCTTCTGGAAAACTGTGTGCCTTCTAGAAAGAATTTGTGCATATGCCAGTATTTTTAGCATCTGAATTTTGCTCTCCACTCTGAAAATTGTCTTATAGCTGTGTTTATCACGGTGACCTCATTCAGCTTTTATATACCCTTTGGTCACCTTTGAAACTGAGCTCTCTAATTTTCCCTCCCTTTGGGGGTGAACAAGACAGTGTGAACCCCAGCCTTTATAATTCACTCATTGCTGTATTGGTTGATCTGCGCATGCGTGTCTGCCCATCCCGCGTGGATACTGTGCGGGGACCCCGCCAGCTCTGCACCCTGCAACCCGAAACAAGTTGCCCTGGCAATGCACTGCTGTTGACCTTTCTGGAGTTAAAGGCAAGCACCCACCCTGAAATGCTTGATCTCAGCTGTGGACTAGGTCGCCAGGCTTGCTCTGTCCAGCCCACACTAAGGGGTCACTTTGAGCCCTCCGAGGTGATTTGTGGACACAGGACACCAGGAAAGCTCAGTGTGTACATTTCTGCTGATCTGGGCATCCTCTGAGATGTCCCCCAGGCCCTGCAACCTTAGGGCCACCCAGCACGCCCAGGTGCTAGCTGGCAACGCTGAAGCCAGTGCCTGCGCCCTGGTGCTGGCCGACACAGCGCTGCCTCGAGGTTCGAGATGTAAACTGAAGCTCAGGAGTTCCCGCCTCACTGAGCTAAGAGACCTCATGTAAATTCTTTAACACAGAGCCTGGCACCAACAAAACTTAGCATATCTAAGTGGTTATTTTAAACAAATATTTAGCAATCTAAAATGGTGGCTTTACTAGATTTGCTTTTTTTTTTCTGGGTGGGGAGGAGGGGGGCTTTCTGGCATCTGCAGACAAATTCTAAAAGAGCTAAACTCACCCATAGTTTTTCCTGGTAATGAGTTAGTTTATTTCTAAGGTTTTTAAAAATACATATGCAGTAATTAATACTTCCTGTCCTCGGAGTGAAGCCGAAAAATCTTCCCTTCCTCTGACCCTTCTTATTCCCATGGTGAATATTCTAGTTGTGCAAGAAATATTCTCATTGGTTCCTGGTTGGTTGTTTTATTTCTCCCCTCCTGAGCATTATTTCCACAGCTCTAAAAGTGCAAAAACCGAAACCTCATGCTATTGGGTACCTTGCGATAAAATCAAGTAATTATTATTTTGCCTGTAAAATTACTGATCTGAAATAGAAGCAGGAGAAAATGAATTGGTAAGTTTACTTAAATGTGCTAGAGAACTAAAGGTCCAATGGGACCCTGGATCTTTTCTTCCCCAGTGGTAGATCGTGATAACAGGGAACAATTTACAAAACAAAGTCTTAGGTTCTTGTTTTTAATGGGAAATTGAAGCTCCATGTCAAAAGCAGGCCCTCGTGAACCTCCTTGTTCTTATTACCCAGCTTTAAAATGACTAGCTCCTGGTCCATCCTGTGCATGAGTGGTGTTCCCCAGCTGTCACAGTGGCTTGCTGGCCCCCTTGGAAAAGACAGCTTTGTCCTCACCTTCTAAAATGGTTTCAGAAGTCACCTCTCTCACCCCACACATGGGTACTTTGTTATGCTATGTGTTGCATAGTGATGGGGAGACAGACAGACAGACAGGGATGAACCAGTGTGGAGTAGACAAGAGGAGTGGGAGAGGATGGTAACAGGAGTGAGACAGGACAGGGAAAGAAAGATGGGAGGGAAGTTCCAAGGCGGGGAGGCAGCGACCAGGGAGAGGGCAGAGAAATGGAGGGGGGAGTGGAGAGAAAGAAAGCAAGCAGGAAAGGAGAGGTGTGGGGGAGGCCCCGAGACTGGTAGGCAGACCTGTGGGCGTGCACCCATGGTGGGCCAGCAGCTCTTCACTGTCCAGGGCAGGGACGCTGAAGGACCTCCTAGGGGACGGGTCACAGAGCAGGGGCCACTGCTAGTCTGCTGCTAGTCGTTCTCTTGATGCATTATGTGACTTTAACCTCCTCACTCCTCATTTCTCTATAGAGAAATTTCTCGCCCTCCCCTACCTTGCCTGGCCCAGCCTGTGTATTATGCACCTTCAGGCTGCCCTGAATAGAATGTGGCATTGTTAATTCTTTGGAGCTCAAATTCCTTTTTGGAGGGGTCCTAGGCAGTAGCCTGAATTAGCAGTAAACACACTAATGGCCAAGACATGGCCATGGAGACATATTGGGGACTTTGCCTGCCCCCGGATGGCGCGGTCAGGCCAGTGACTGTGGCCCACACAGGATCCAGGAGACCAGGAAGACCCATGCCTGACCCAAGAGCTCCTGCCCCACCCAAGGCTGGCCGCAGAGGGAGTCCAGAGGGAGGCCAGAGGGAGCCCGGGTCACCCACAGGTGGCCCTGTGATGGGGAAGGGCCGGGGCAGGGATTCCCAGAACCTTTCATGGACACATCCCAGAGTCTCCAGGGAGCCTTGGAGCATGTGGAAGCACAGAGAAATGTGCCTTTATGTCCTGCATTCTTTATGATCTTGGCCATGGTTTTTATTTCACTCCGAACTGCGTTCCCTAGGCGTGCTTGGAGGATCTCCTAGAGGTCAGGCCGCTTTGTCGCCTTCCCTGCCTGTCATTTCTGGTGGTCATCTGTCAGTTAATGGTTAAAACGCACTTTTCTACTGCAACTTTGTTTATTTGTTT